CGTTTCGCATTCTTCGCCTTCTGTAGATATATAACGGAGATTGCCTCGCTGCGAGCGTAGCCATTCGCGTCGGCGTCAAATGATTTACTGCGACCGTCAGACGACAAAACTCCTGTAATCATAATTATTATAATAAAATATACACATAAAAATAATCACCTATATCTTCAGATGTTTTAGTATTTATGTGTGTGTGTGTGTGAGATATTCTTGAAAAAAAAATCGTTGTTAAAAGCTTTTATATACATATACTTTATGTTACTAACTTATTGTGTTTCATATATAATTGTAAATTATTAATTTCTTACAGAATCATATCCTATATGTATGATTAATATTATAAATATAAAAAATATATATGTAGTATATACAGGAGTATATATTTTTTATATCAACATATCATCTCTAATAAAAAAAAAATATATATTGTATTTTTGACGGAAAATTTAGGCTTTTTCTCAATCTTATATTCTCAGGAAGAAAACTATCAAATAATCTTCTGAAAAGTTACATAATGTACAGTTACAATATAAATCCGTTGGTATTGTTAATATATGTAACTATAACTGTAATTATGAAAACACAGTTTGAAATTTTAATAAAAGTTTTAATCTTTCTCTTTTCTTAAACTTTCTTCGTATATAAATATATGTTTTTGATATAACATAGATAAAATGTTTCTTTGCAATAAATTTAACTTAATTATTGATTAGTATAATTACTTGATTAAGAATAAGTATAACTTTGTTTTTATTAGGATTCTAGTGAAGGAAACTTTGACTTTTTATTTTTTCATGTTCAAAGATTCATGCAGAATAAATATGATCGAAGACGAAGGATTATATACCAAGACGAGAAAATTGCAGCGATACATAGGGATGAAGACACAGGTTTGATCCGCCTACAAGAGCGGCATCGCATTGACCGTCTCGCAAAGATCGATAAGCATGTTCCAACGCAATTAAGCTCGAGCTACAAGCGGAATCTAAAGTGTAAGATGGTCCATTCGCTCCTAGCCAGTAGGAAATTCTATTCGCTAACATGGCTCTGCTGCATCCGGTAATTCCAAAACCATTTACCTAATCGTAATCAAGAAAATTAAAATTAGAAAATCATTTTTTATCAAAACACACACTCACACACATATACACATACACACACGATCATTTACATTTACGTCAAATTCGTGTTACTTTAATATATTGCCTTCAATATTTGAGTTTACGTGTAATATTTTCTACGCTTTATTATACCATTTTTAGTAATAATGAACAATAATAATAGTGAGTAATAAAAAATAGAAAATATAAACTCAGAAATTCTTTCTGCATCTAAATTTAAGTTAACAAAATGAATCTTGAGTCTTTTGATTCATTTAGCTGTCCTTTATTGTCATACGTTAATAGTACATTTACCTGTAATTTTTCGTAAAACCAAGTCTTTTCAGATTCAGAGAAACATGCACCCACGAAAACGCCAGTTCGTGATCCACGCAATTGCTTTGGATTAACTCCCGCGTCAATGATAGCTTCGTAAGCATGTTCTAATAAGATTCTGCACATCGGATCCAACGTGTGGGCCTGTTTAAAATGGACGCCAAAGAACAACGCATCGAATTTGTTAACATCGTTAATCTTTCCTGTACGTTGAGGGATGTCTGGATGATCTGTTGACATTAATAAAAACATAATAAATCATTATATTCAACTTGATGTTTTTAATTACGCAATTAGGATAAAAATAAACATATAATTATATAATTGCTTAAAAAAACGATATACTTTGCAACTACTTTGTAACTACTATATTTCTTATATGAAACTTTTTTCTTTAAAATTGTTTAAGAGATATTTAAGAGATCATCATTTAAAATAGAATAATCTACACACGCACGCACGCACGTACGTACTATATATATATAT